TATATTTGTCAAGACCTTAATTTTTGGTTTGAATTATTTTTTATCATTGATGAACACGGTGGATCTGTTGCACATGAGAAGGTGCAGCCGGCAAAGCAAGAGCAGCATATTAACAACAAAAGAACATCTGAAACACGAAAAAACTGTCAAACAACGCAAAATTCAGAATTTTCAATACAAATGTCAAGACAGTTCTACTGTATGGAGCAGAAACCTGAAGGACTGCGAAAGCCATCATCTAGAAGATACAAGTGTTTAATAACAGTTGTCCATACAAAATACGTCCAATCCGATGAACAGACACCATCAGCAACAACCTACTGTGTGAGAGAACAAACCAGATCCTAGCGGATCAAGTAATCAAGAAGAAGCGCTGGAAGTGGATAGGACACACATTGGGGAAATCACCCAACTGCATCACAAGGCAAGACCTCATATGGAATCCTTCAGGCCAGAGGAGGAGAGGAAGACCAAAGAAATGAAGACAGACATGAGGAAAATGAACAAAAATTGGACAGAACTGGGAAGGAAGGCCCAGGGCATAGTGGGTTGGAGAATGCTGGTTGGCGGCCTATGCTCCATTGAGAGTAACGGGCGTAAGTATGTCAGTGCATTTTAGTTAACTTTATAACCCCTTTATATTAAAATATACATTATATGTTCTTGAATAACCGTTCGTAGATGTTTAATGAATTTGTTACATTCAATATTTTTAAATACCCATTGTAAAACAGGTATTGGATAGCTATCTCACTTATTTGTGTTTTGGTAAACTACTTATATCCACATAAGTAGTATATGACGATAGTCAGAAATAGAATGCATTTCAGTAGAAGATCGAGAAGGCAAGAACAGAAGTGGAAAGCAATTGGTATGGAAATGCAAGAACAATGAAATCTGAAACGACGAACTGATATTTGCAAAAGAAACAGTCAATTTTGAGACAATTCATTGCTATTTTGCAAATTAAGTATTTACTATATGGTTCTCAGTCTTTAGTAGGTGTTGCAGTTTCCGGAACACCAAGTCAGCTCTGATGTTCACTTCGGAAAGTCCTGTGCAGTTGCAGATGAAGTTGTCATCAATAGAGTTGATGTGTGTCAGTTGAAATGTCCGAGGGTATTATTCAGACAAAAGATTAGTGGCGTCGCCGTCGTTATTGGTCGGGTCATTAGGACCTAGCAGTTTGGAAACTCCAGCTTTGGCTTGCCGAAGAGAGGCTGCATAACGGAATAAGCTTTTCGGATTGAAGACAAATTTATCCATAAGCTTTGTCTGGTACTGAAGCCTGTCTTCTCTTATAGTCGTCGTGCAAATGTTCCTTATACGTTTATATTGTCTGTACGCGCTGTTGTTATCAGTTCGTTTGTATTGTGCCCAACAGTGACTTTTGTGGCTTGGCAAACGAAGAGCGCGGTTCTTGATGATTGTAGGTTGCTTGTAGCTATTGAGGACCGTTTGAGGAACTGAATGCTTTGTAGCACATAAGAGCAAGTGCAGTAAGAAATCTTAAATATCATGCACATCGAGTTGAGGGTGAACATTCTAATCCACCTGTTGTAGATAGTCCTGTAGAGCTGACACATTCAACCGTTTGAAATTCAAGCGCCTGTTGTTGGTGGGATTTGTTAGCTCAGTTTTGCTGACAAAACTGAAAGGTATGACGGCGTGATCGCTTCTTCTCAGCGGAGCCAGGATCGAGAGGTTGTCAACTGGAAATTCTTCATATTTAAACATCCAGTCTGAGCGTGACGACTTCTGACAGTTTCTCCAACGAGTTTCAAACCTCACATTTTCGAATAATTCCGGATCCTCAATGAGATTGAAGAACCGAGCTTCACTAGAGCTTTCGCCCCCGAAATACGTATGTTCCGAGAAATTGACTCTAGGGGGATTGAAGTCACCTAGAATCAGGATATGAGTGAATTCGAGACGCGTAGAGTGGAATAGTCCTTCTAGCATACGAATGCCATACTCGATTTCAGCAGTGAACTTCGTGAAGATGACCCCGACCAGGCATCTCGAAGTGCTAGACAATCTTACTGAGCACCATAAGGATTCATCAAGATTGATAAACTCTTGGTTGTGAAGTTCATGTACCTCTAGGCAGGATCATATGTATACGGCTACTCCAACCCCAATTCCTGTTTTTCTGTCGTTGCGAAACAAAGAAATCCCAGGTATTGCTAGCCCCTGCCCTGTAAACTGAGAAGATATCCAAGTTTCAGATACTCCTATCAAATGAACATTATTAGCATTGCTAAGTTCACGTAACTCATCCACTTTATCTGGTAGACTCGCGGCGTTCATGTATAGGCAGTTTATGCTTTCAATTTGAAACACGTGAGCTTCTTCATGTTTTTTTTGCATGAGCCTTACGTGGATGGACAGGTAGCCTACTTACATAAGGTTTGCCGAGTTGATAGGCCCTGTTCTTTACAGGTTTTTAATCATCAAGTCAGTCCACAAGTGAAATGATCAGCTCCGACTTGCCTTTGTGCCTGGTCTTTACTTCATTTGGCCTGTCCGGGTGCATGTGGACTCCAGTTAGCAACCGATGTCTGTTGGCACGAAATGCTTCCAGATTTGCAGCCACCATATGAGAAGATGGGAAGGTTATCCTCATTAGCCGAGGTCTAGAATCACCATCCTTCTAGGCTAGTCTAGTCACGTGTTGAGTCAGTATGTTTTTGAGCTTCAAGGACTGCTTGATGAATTTCCATTCCTTAATATCACAGTTTGCTTGATTAGAGTCCGTGTTATCCCGTACACCCTGCACAATTATATTTCTTCCGCGGAAAACTTCTCGCGAGATTCTTCAGGGATGTTCCGGATGAGATTGCGCTCAGAATACGGTATGTCGTGCAGCATTATTACGTTCCTACCAGATTTCGGCAAATGACTAGCTAGCAGGACATCCTCTACGTCGGTAACATTCCTAAATGTTATATGAAGTAGCCTCGGGTGATTTTGGTGCTTAGATTCCTTTCTCCGAGTGAGCCGTGTGGCCATCAAAAGCTCTTTTCTAACAAGTTCAAGTTTCTGGTTCGATTCACCATCAGAGCATCCTGTCATTTGGGTCCTGAAAATTGAGAGGAAGGTGAGGGTTGTCTTTGAGGTTCATGATTATGAGGGAGTCATCACGAAGCGTTATTGTTTTCCCAGGTTTTCCGGTGTGTTCAGGTTCAGCACCTTGTTGTTTCGAGTTCGAAACACGTTTCTGAATTTTAGGCTCTTTGATGACCGGACGGACATTCTCAGGCGGTATACCGTGCGGTCAAATCACTAATTGATTTCCGTACAACACTTGGGATGTTCAGCGTAAACGGTGACGCCTGATCCTTTTTAGCTCTGTTGACGTGGGTCCAATCATTCATAGAGTTTTGAGGAATCGCCGTCGCATTCAAAGTCCCTGAGTTGGGAGACCAGAGGTTACTGAGGGAGTCTACTACCGTCGACGTAATGATGAAGCTGAGTTTCCACATGTCATCAATAATGCTAATGCATGCTCCATCGATGGTAGACCTGTCGACATCCCTATTCTTGTTTTCGTTGCGCGTCCTTGTTTGTCTAACCGTTTTATAACTGTCTTTTTACAAGTTTGCTGACAACTTGTTCAACAGACCTGTCAATAGGACAATGATGTTACTCATCAAGACTGCAGCATCCGTGATGCACATAACACATATCCACTTACGATTCGATTTGCTGAGTCTGTTGTAAGCAGCTGTTGTGACCTATGAATCAAAACCTTCACTCGCCGTTCTCGTAGCTGTGGCATAAGTGCTGGCTTAAACGTTATCACTGTGCATGCTAATCAATGAACTTAAGGGTAGAATATGAGGAGGAAGTCCACAAGGTGTAAGCTTCGAAAGAAACGAAATCTGAAAGACGCTTAAAACTTCAACATTACTTTTGACCGCTTGAATAAGCAAGTTCGCGTGGACCCCATAACTTTTCCAGAAGTTCCGTGTTTGTAAGTGAATGAGTGTGAGGATGTTGCAGTTGAGGCATCTGGTAAAAGAGTAGTTGATCAGGACAACTAGAACTACAATGCAGTGTTCCAACTTTGGTGTTATTTTGATTGTCAGTCTTGCTCTTCACTCTGTGCACAGATAACTTGGCGCAATCACTACAGAATAGATCTTAACACCGTCTAAGATGTTCCTGCAACCTCACCTTGAAGTCCACAACATTGTCGGATCTACCCCTCAAAATGGACGTAAATCTCTCAGACCAAGTACAGAGACGGGCAAGTAGGTGGGTATGAGGGTCAACGAACGAATTTTACGAAGACAGGCTCGGATGTCTGAGATTATTATTACTGAGACATTTGAGTATAAATGGTGATCTGAGAGTGGCATACAACATACAAAGTATGCCGAGTCATCCCAACACGAGAATGTCACTGGAGCATCAGCATCATGTTCTTCGCGACAACTCTCGGAAGACTTCATATTAAAAAATGAACATCCAGGTAGGCTCTCAACTTTTCCCATTAAAAGTCGCACCTATTCGGAATGCTCTCCAAGGTATGGTAACCACAGTCTTTCAGTGGATAGCGTCAAGAGGAGACTTGACAAACAAGTACTCACTCACGCGTTGTCTTCTACCGCTTGTAGTAGCTGTGTCTGATGCATGTCTGATAATTTACCGCTGTTACAACTGATGAATATCATTAACCACTTCCCATCTCTTCTGTTATCATCTCCGTCTTCCGTCTCATTCTGTTACTTCTGCCTTATCATAATGTTATTTCGTTATTTCTTATGTTATTTTTCGAAATGATCGTCGTCTGCTGCCACGCGATTTTTTATTTACTATTCATGATTTTCCTCTCAACAACTTTTCTTTTTGACAATATTATTATTTTGTCATCCAGAAGTGGCTAGTGTTGTTGTGCGGCCAAACAATTAAGTATTAAAATTTTGAAAAACCTTGACTCGTTCTGATTTATCAAATAGGGTGTTCAAAGAAGTTATTCAGGCTATATATTCAACGTATTGGACATTGCGCGGCACACTCAAACCTGTCGCTACTTGTGTATTAGTCAAATGAAGTTTGAGTGGTCGGTTGCGTCAGCTACTGCGCAAGATTATTTGAATGACAGAATCAATGAGGCTGGTACATTTCAAGATGACTGGACTGAACTTTCAAATTTTTACTCCAAGAAGTGAGTTCACATTTCGATAATATAGTGCAAATATATTTGCACTTAAAGTTGATATTTCCAAGTAAGCATTTCTGAGTAATTTGTATTCAGTCATTTTCATCTTAGTCTTAAACTGTTAGGTCAACGACTGAAAACGTGGTTCAGAACTCGTTTCAAGTGAGTTTTTAAGTGGTTTGCAGTTCGGAGATTGACCAACTCACCCGTGGCAAACCTAAGTATAAAACTCAAGGTCTGATAACCCCATCCTTTGATTTTCTTGTCTCGCGATTCGACCTTGTAATGGTAGCTTATATGCTGGTTAATTAGTTATCGTTTTAGTTCCTTATGACTATAGAACTGTATTTTCATTAGATCGTGAAGGGATGATACGGTTCTTAAACACAAGCTAGTTTCTTGTAAGATTTGTTTTTACCAGCTATTTAGAGCTATATAGTCATTGAAAAAGTCTTTATAACCTTTTTAACTTCGACATTCACAGCTGCGTCTCTGGCTTGTGCCTGTTCAGTGGATTTGCAGTACAGTAAATTAGCAACAACTAGAAAACCTAAGATAACTGTGCGTCATATCCGATTGCCGCACCATATTAGCACAGAGGATTAAAAGCAATAACTTGAATATTGAATTAAAAAAGGAGCGGTGTTAACGGTAGTAAAAAAGTAGAGAATACGGTTCGAGATGATATCACGAATTATAAAGTATTGAGTGATTTTGAAGCAAATGACTCAAGAGTTGACAAGTGTTAGCTTCTACCTCTAACTGTTGGGCGCGATAATCGTGCAGACTCAAACCAGCTAATCCGCACTTGTCAGCGCTCAGACTAATAGTCAGTAACTTGGTAGACTTTTTTTACTTTCACTAGCTTCTTCCCAACCTAAGTATAAGTAAGTTGTGGCATTGTCAGACGTACTTATTACAAACTGCAGTCGGCGAAAACTTCACCTAAAGCTTCTTCAGGGTTACTGTCGTTCACAAGCCTGGTTGAAGCAGGTTTGGCCGTTGGGTTTGCAACCACACGTCGTAAAAAAAACTCTCATCATGAAAAGAGTCGGTCTATAAAGTTTCATTACTTGCTTTGTTTGGTACTATGTACGACCTCAGTACTGGTTTCTTAATGGTCCCAAATGTCCTGGTACGGCTGAGAGTCCGCTCTCCCTCTCCCTCTCGAAATGCTCTCACATGGCCACGTGTTTATAGCCTCTGCCAGAGAAGTCCTACTCACTGCCTTCTCGTGGCGGGGGTGTTGTTTACGAAAATGAGAGGACGGAAAGCGAATGTCTGGCACTTTAACTGGATCCCAAACCAAATCACTGGTGCACATGGGCTCCAGTATCCTGCGGAAACAAATGGCGTATAAACCAGTCGTTGGTCATCGGCTTCCATGGGACTGCATCTCCTTACGATGCTCCACTGCCTTGTGGGTTAGACCTTCAGGTCTATGGCTCGAGGAGTGGCTCCCTAAGAAAACCACCTGCTTCGGTTTGGGCACCTAGGCAGTATCACAGCCCTCACAGATATTGAATGAGATTTGTGTGGCGCATATGTATGTGGTGCCTCCTTGTACCAATATCTATGTGTGAAAATAAATAAGTCTGAGTCCCTTGTGGTCGAGTACTAGTGACGTCGGAATATCCGTAATTCCTAGAAGTTACGCTTTGCAACCATAAAATAAAACGAGCAACTCCGTAGCAAACCCCTCCTTTCGTTGGTGACAATTGGTGCACGTTAACCTAAACCAACTGGAATTTTGTAGATCCATGTCAAAGTTCTGTCAGACTAGCTAATGTGTTAGTGAAATTTCTCAGACATGTGTCTCGATTGGCTTTCAGTTGCTGCACTACCTGTCACACATTAAGGTTAGGCATTCATATCTCCTACTTTCTTCATGCCATTATCGTCAGATCAGGTAAGAATGTTATTTTCTCGAGTGGATTAGTTTGTTTAGACGATCGTTTGTGTTCGCAACACCAGACTTATTTTCCACTCAGACGGTCACTGGTTTGTTACGACATTTATAATAAAGGGTGACTCAATAATTTAGCCATTTGCTCAGATTTCTACCTATTTTTCTTACTTGATCTACTGAATAGTTTTGGGTTATAACAACATGGGCCTCGATTACATTTATTTCCTAGGTTGTAGTATTTGTCTTATTAAAGAGCCTTTCCATAAATTGTCACATACCTGGTGTCATAGTCAGAGCTTGAAAATCCATTCTACTTATCATAGTGACAGACCTCAATGACGTCATTCTCGTGAATCACAAATGGGATTTTAGTCTCATTTGTTTAAAATAAATTTTAACTTATGTAGAATACCTTATCTCCCTAACAATGTTTTCGATTATAGATTGTGGCATCAATTAACGCTAAAACTTGAATGTCTGCTGAAAAATCCTGAATTTCGGTCGAAAACAAATTTAATTCTGGTAAAATACCTATTTCGAGTAATAAAAATATCATTATAGCTCAGTACCAATTTTCTCGGCGATTTTATATACAAGTAAATTCATTGTTATGATTACCGTTCTCTTTCCCAAATAGAATAAACCCACTCTCTTTAGCTGAATTATGCGTTCCGATTAGTGAGCAGTATGTAATTACAGGTATGCACTAACCATCGTGTGCAAATGAGTTTAATTTTTTAGATCCGCAGCAGGGTATCAAATTCCTCGAAGAAGTTCGTGATGAGGTAGTTCACTACTTTTAATCCTTCCAAACTATTATTGAAAGCTATTTTTAATTTCGGATAAATTTTTTTGTCTTGTTGCCTTGTACGTTCTTCGATCTTTCGAACAATGTTTTGGTTAAGGTGACTAGAGTCCATAGGTTTGATCCAAAAATTTGGCGCTTGAGGCTTCACTCATTTCTGGTTAATAATGAATAGAATTAATTTGCAAGCAATACCATCCTACTGCAAGCAGTTCTGTATTGGTTTTCCCCGCGACGTTGGTTAGATTTTGTTATGGTGCAACCTATCGTCTGATTATCACTTATCTCTGATGTCCCTAAAAATGTTTTAGGGATCCTAAATCCCCAGCTACAGCATTCAGGAAGAAACTACTTTTGGGATTTACATGTTGATTTAAAGCGAGTTCCATTCATTCTGTATGGTTAAGGTCTTTAATCATTATTTTGCAGTCAAGTAGACTGGTAGGTTATTAGAACTAATTGATGTATTGTTGGATTAAAGTGAATGTACATTCAGTATTTGGTTTTCATTGATAAAGCTTAACAAAACTTGTTTTTTTGTGGCTGGGGTTAAAACGAAAGAGAACTGTTGCATACGTTTTCGAACTGATGGTTATCACTGCTATCCCGCTCCCTACCAAGCTCACCGGGGTTAAGTATTCCATGTTTCTGAAGTTAAAAGACAGACCATCGAGGTCGCAGTTTGCCTGTATTCTCTGAAGCAGTGGGCTCTTATTAGACAGTTATAGTTACATCATTATAAAGGATTTCGGAACAAATTGTTGTTGGTTATTCTCTAATTTTTAGTGGCCATGCAACTGGTATTATAACGACTTTCGAATTCATTTATAACTTACATCAACCTGCTATTAAGTTAGAATCGTAGTGCCTAAATCAATCCATTTCATAATACAATAATACTTAATGAGTAACACTACTAGCTAGTTTGGTTAGTAGTCTTCTGTTACACATATCCAATACCGTCGCAAGTTTCTGGTTAAACAGAGAAATACTTTCTCATTCAGTCAGCCCAACTGCTGTTTGTCGTCCCTTTTTCCAACATTGAGTATATGTCCATCTCCAATATCCGGTTACATCAAGGTTTGCTAATACCACCGTGCCAGTTGTGGGTTGCTATTTTCATAAACCACATATTTCTAAGGTAACATCTGTTGTACACATTACTGTAAAGCATCATAAGATGATTTCAAGTCCTCGACTCACCCACTTCAATCTGACCAATCGGGTAGTATTTTTAGTCTGGAAATATAATTTGCGTTTTACACATGAATTGGTACTTAACCATGTACTCTGGGATATTTGGTTTATAAAACTTTATAAAGAGTAAGATTCATTTCGGTGTAATGTTTTGTATTTTTCCAGTTTTCTGGCAAATCCATGGACGCGAAAATACTTTTTAACACAACTATTGGAATGATTTACTTGACAGCACTTAATGATCTGCCGAGTGCTCGTCAAATAATTGAGAATACACAAAGTCAGTTAGATGAAATTGAAGGTGTTACTACAGTTCACTCAAGATTTTATCAGCTTAGTTCAAGATATTATCAGGTAAGTTTACATATTTTCTCTTTGTTAGAGTATTTTGTAATTGATAAACCGCAAAGATCATAGAAACAAAAACAATGTTTGAATTTATGGTAAACTGTATTAAATCACGTCATTATTTCTAACTGTTCTCTAATTCATCATGCCTTAATTTATGATTCAAGCTCGGAGCAATATCTTCTATATGGTTTGCGCCTAAAAACCTATGTCTTGAGCACAATAAGATTAGTAGGAACACATGGAATCCTGGTTAAATAAACCTGTATTTTCTCGTAATTACACCTTTCGATCTTAATGCTCCACACTTCGGTAGTATTTCAACAGACATCAGTTAACAGGTAGCGCGTTATGTAAAGTAGTGTTGCTCGTTCGTTTACCGAGTAAGGCTTTATATCCTTGGCTCAGTCACACCCTTTTTAATGTTAGGGGTTGTGGTACTGTATGGTTGTTCGGACTGAATCAAGAAGAATGTAGTTTAAACGCTCAATCTCACAGTTAAAAGCCTTGGTCTTTAAGTACTAAATGATTGCTGCTATGTAGGATGTTCGAAATTGATTGCCGTCTGTTTAATACTCATGTTCTGATACAACTGGTCACCAAAATAAGTATGCCCACATAAATAGAACTGCAATGTTAAATAATAAAGTGAGCAACTGAATTACAATAAAAAAGAAAAGTGAACAATAATGCTATATAATAGGAGCTACAGTTCATTTCAGGAGTCCCCACTTTTATAAAAAATCTAGAAGATAATTACAACAGGATCACACTGGCTCCTGTTCTCAGCCATTTCTAATGAAGTCTCAAGTTGTCTGGTTGCAGCACCCCTCTATAATTAGTTCGCACCAACGTCTAAACTAAAGATAGATCGTAATGTTGTTAGACACTTCGACCACTTCACTTGTTTTGTAAGTTTCAGTCCTGATGGGTTGATATCTGAGGAAATAGTGGCACGCATTCCGGAGGTTAAGTTGAGCTTTGTCAACAGCTTCTGTAAAATCAAGTGTGCCATTGAACCTAACTGATACAGATTGGAGAACAAACAAGTGTTCTCTGTCTTCCTGAGATGCGCATTCAAGACTAATGAATTACTTCAAATTCTTCATCCACATGTCAGTTATAAAGTATGGTAGTATGAGGATATTCTGAGAGCAAGATAGGACCACCTACCCTCGACGTATCAGGAAAGAAATTACGCTTAACTAGGGATGTTTTAATAACTAAGGTTTATAGTTATAACTTAAATAGTGAGCGTCGTTGCTTGGTACCAGATTACCGGATTGTATGATTGTATAATAGTTACTAGAGAATCTGTTTAGATGCTCATTGGGGGGATACTCGATTGTTACTAGCTGTTGAGTGCTTTTTTTCATTATGTGAGCTGTTGATGGAAAAGCGGGGTATCTTTTTACTAAAAAACATACCTTCATTTCTCTTAATTCCTTCAGATATTCAACCTAAAATGTATCTTAGGGTGGCATCTTGTTTTCAATATGCCGATGACATAGTTTTATTTGGTGAAGACACTGACAAAATGCAGAGTCTTCTGACCACTCTAAGCAACAATGCAAGCATGTTCGGGATGCGATTCTCCCCCTCGAAATGCAAAATGTTGCTTCAGGATTGGGTTGCATTGACACCCGAACTAGTGATAGGGAGTGAAGTAGTTGAGTGTGTCGACCGCTTCACTTCTCTTGGAAGTCTCGTCAGTCCTTGTGGTCTGGTGTGACGAAATCTCAGCACGGATACAGAAGGCTCGACTAGATCTTACCAACTTGCGTCATTTATGGCGTAGGCGAGATATCCGTCTATCAACCAAAGGACGTGTTTACTGCGCAGCAGTTCGTTCCGTCCTAATTTATGGCAGTGAAACATGGCCGGTAAGAGTAGAGGATATCCGTAGGTTACTAGTATTCTATCATAGGTGTCTTCGAAATACTGCTCGTATACCCTGGGACCAACGAGTAAGTAATGCAGTTGTTAGGAAACGGATACTAGGTAAGGATGGCAAATCAATTGATGAAGTAGTGAAACTTCATCAGTTGAGATGGCTGGGACACGTGTTACGTATGCCCAACGACCGACTGCCTCGACGTGCTATGTTCAGTGGTATAGGAGTAGGTTGGAAGAAAGCTAGAGGCGGCCAGACCAAAACACGGCATAAGTCCATGAAGTCACTGACAAGTGAACTGAGTCATGTTGGTATGTGTAGATTACCTGGTTGGGGACCGCGAGATGATAGCAACCCTTGGTTAGAGACCCTGAATGACATGGCTCAAAGTCGTTTGCAATGGTGTAAGCAGGTGCATCCACTCTTTGTGTTTTCCCAAATTCTAATCTTCTGATTTCTTCATGTCCCTTTCTTTTTTCTCTTTTCAAATTTATTTCACTGGATTATAGTCCTTGAATAACATCTTCAAACCCTAATTTTTCTGATTATAGCTTATAATTTTACTACATATAGCACTACGGGATTTGAATCGACCACTGCATCTCTGTACTAATGTGGTGTAGCAACTCGAACTGATGTACGTACGTACGAAGTTCTACGTTGTTACTGACTTACGGATCTGGTTTTCAGGACAATTTGATTTATAGTGTATTTCTTATAGTTCATTCCTTGTCATAAATAAATCAGCTATTTTTGTCACTAGATTACTGGACAACATGCTGAATTCTATCAAGAAGCACTTCGTTTTCTCGGTTGTGTGGATTTAAACAGTTTGAGTATTGAAGAACAAAGAGGATGGGCATTTTCTGTTGGTTTGGCAGCTATTCTTAGTGATGGTGTTTACAGCTTTGGCGAACTCGTATGTGTTCAAGAATTTTTTGTTTTACAATGGTTTTGTTCTTTTTCAAATTTCTCCCCATCTTACAGAATTTTTACTACATGAATATCAGTTCAAAAAATATTCTATTATGATAATTAAGATTAAAATTTGGTTACCATTCTAAAATTAGGTTTAACTCAATCGAACTTCCTTCGACTATTTATCGTTCCCATCCACGAAAAAGGAAGCTAATATTTTTGTGCTAATAACTAAAATGTCATATAGACATAAGATGTTACATCTTGGAGGAAATAGTTTATCAAAAGAACGCTTCTTGAGAATATTATTTCATTGAATCCTAGAGCCTGATTAAAAATTCCTGCTGCACTTATTTCGGTTGAAAGACATCACCTTACTGATGTGTTAATACTTAAGCTCAGTTGTGTGCAAAGTTATGTAAAACTTTCAGCATTAGCCACAAGCCATGTTTGAATAAACCTTGTTTATGAAGTTGAGCACTATCATCCATTTTCTATAATTGTACTTCCGATAGCAATGGTTACTGCCCTTATGTTATTTGTAATTAATCTACTGATAAACTACCGATAAAGCAAAGTGGTTTTCTGGACATTTTAATGAAAATGCCTTAGGCTCTTCAATACCTGTTTTCATCTGCTAAATGTGAAGTCTTACATGAGGATTAGTTTGAATTTTAGCCTAACTTCATTTTAAAAGGCAATATCGTTGGGTTGTTAGCCTTGAGAGTTGTAATGTACTGAAAAATTTCAACTATTTCCAACTTCGCTATTTATGGTGTGCAACCAAGATTTTCAAATGTCTTGGGAAATAAATTGTGTATTAGCCCCAGTGTATTCTGCTTCATATCTGCAATGGCATCGATTAAATTGACTGTATGACAAATGATTAATATTCTACTACTACTGTACTGAAGAACAATAAAACAACAATCAAGATAATAGGATTAAACTACAACATTGCTTCGGAAAGTCGATTTTTCATATGAATATATATATATATATATATATATATATATATATATATATGGGTACTAAGAGGCACCACACAATAACAGTAAAGCCAGTAGTAGTTATTATTGATTTGTGTGGGGGATGTAATACTGCCTGGTTTCCAAAACTGAACCAGGTAGTTTTCTAGGGAGCCCCGAGCCTTTGACCTAAAGGTGTAGTCCACAAAGCAGTGGAGCAACGTTAGGAGATGCAGTCCCATGGTAGCCGGTGACTAACGATTGGTTCATACATTATTTGTTCCTTCAGGATACTGGAACCCATCTGCACCATTGGTTTGGAATCAGGGTTTCTCAAAAACCCCCGGGTGAACTCACTGTGTCCACCGACCCGGTTAAAGTCGGACAGTCACTTTTCGTCTACTCAATTTCGTAAACAACACCCCCACCATACGAAGGACTTCTCTGGTAGTGGTTGTATGCATTTGACCATGTGAGAGGGAGATGCGACTCTACCCACCGTCGGGCGTACCAGGGCATTTAGGTGCTGTAAAATCGATTACTGAAAGTTATTACGATATATATGTATACTCTGTCCTTATGGAAAAAAGTCCGGCATACAGATGATGTTGGTAGACTATTTTTTGACTGAAAGTTGTCAGCTATCTGTCTGTTTTCACTTGTGTTAATCTAAACAACCTTCCACATCGTTGAAATGCATTTTAACATTTTATTCTTTGTGTTTCTTTCTTAAACTTCGATTTCCAATGACATGGTTCCCTTTTTATTTACATTCTTGTTTAAAAGCTGACGCATGATGTCTTGAAAAGTTTACAAGGTTCTTCACAGGCATGGCTTATTGACCTACTGCAAGCTTTCAATAGAGGTGATTTAAATCAGTTGGATCAACTACGCAGCCGTTGGTGTGTTCAAGCTGATCTAGTAGCTGCTGAACCAAAATTGAAAGACAAAGTCACCTTATTATGTCTAGTTGAAATGGTGTTTCGCCAACCAACTAATAAACGTACGCTGACATTTGTAGAAATCTCATCTACTACCAGAGTCCCAATTGACCAAGTAAGTTGTACGATAACTAGAGGGAAAGCTTGAATTGACGATACAGTGTCTTAGTAAATAAATATTGAATGAGTCATATCTTTAAAATAACTGTTGAGTTTGTATTAATATGGTATTCAGATTACAAAGTGAGTAGTCTTACAGTGACTCACGTGCAATCGAGTTTAGTTCAGTCAAAGTCTTTTGTTGACCTATTTAATGGACGAAGACATCCGTGATATAACAACTTGTTGTACTATCTTTATTATTGTGCTTGTATGAAATACATGTGCTTGAACATTGTTTAGCTCCTACGCATGTATTCATTCTGCTAGCTTCATTATTAACTGCTTAGTCTATTCGCTGACTCATCCATATATATATATATATATATATATATATATATATATATATATATATATACATTTGCACCCATTCACTACTACTACCACTACTTGCTACTGCTACAATCGTAGTTCGCTTGCTCATTCATTTTGCCTTTCTGCTGTCTGGCCCAAATTATCTACTAAATAAACTGTAGTAGTTGCTTCTTTTTGCCTTCTGATCTCAAACACCGTTGAAGATAATACGATAACGGTTTGGGGGTGATTAGTTATCGAAGCACAGCCACTACAGTCGGTTTAATCGACTTAGATTTATGTCTCATATTTAGTCTGGTGAAGATGAACGATGATATTAAGCAACATTATTCTGGATCCCTTCAAGGTATCACAATTTGGATGTAATAGTTCATCTACGAATATTTCCCACTTTTATAAATCATGTTTCACACTCATATAGAGCAAACTGCTATGCAGTATACTCACCCTTTGTTCATCAGACGGACGTTTCATGATATAAGTCAGCAAACGTCAATCAAGCTTTTTGAGTCCGTTTTGATGTTTCATCAGATGCTAACCCACCAGGGTTGGAGACCTTCCGAAATCAGTAAAGTGGTCACCTCACTCAATCACTTTGCTTCCTGTCATGATGTTGTTCTGTTCTCTAGAGAGACTTCTGGTACGTAGATAACACTGTCATTAGTTTTGATGATAGTTCCCCATAAACTCTGACTCAATCAGTAGTGTTTGGTTAGAGTCTTCATAAGACCTATCCACTTCTGTGTTATACGTTTCACTGGCATACACTGCCATGTTATCTATCTATCAAGCTAATATATTGTACAATTTGTTGATGAACAATGTGTGATCAAGTGTAGCGTTACCAAAACATGAAGCTTTAGTTAGCAAGATAATATGAATTCCAACATGTCGGTAATTGTGTGAACTATTCTATATATGTAGTATAGTTTTACTCTTGGTAATGTTAGTCATTCATATACTTCTTTTAAAAAAATTGAATAAAGTAGCCACTGCAAATATGCTTTGGTTTGTAAATCACTACTAGGTTACTAAATATTTCAGTATGCTTATCATTAATCTAAATTGTAATTATTGTTCAGAAGTAATTTAATTTGTTCTGTTAGCTATTGGGATTTTTAAAAAATTAGTTTCATGTTGTTTTGAGCGAAGTGGTGGTTTAGTGAAAAGAGTACTATACTTCCGCTTGAGGTTACAGGTCAGTCAGTTTGATGCAATATAGGACCTAGAATGAGTGTACATCAGTTCAATTTGCAATACATTATTCGTACAGCAAGATGAGGTTGTCCGGGTAAATCTCAGAGTAGTAATGGTTATAAAAGTAATACTGATAACAAAAAAATCCAAGGATTAAAGAGCCCAAATTAGTGAAATAAAAGAGAAATTATGAGGAATTTAAAAGAAGAGAAATTACTTAATTGACTACCGCATGTTTCTGTTTTACGCCTCTTAATTTTCCTTAATATCAATACTAAAATTGAAGAAATATTTTCTTTTCAAGGTTGAACATTTCTTGATGAAAGCACTCTCCTTAAAATTGATAAAAGGACGTATTGATGAAGTTAATCAATGTGTTTCTCTTACTTGGTTACAACCTCGTGTTCTTGACAAGGAACAAGTAAATTGAATTTTTAAATGACAGTAATTTCTTTTTCGAAAAATTAGCGTTTATAAAAACTTACCAGTTACTAGTTGTTCATACTAACATAATATATTCATTATCATACGAGGAGTACTATAATGCAATACTCTAAGGTCTTTCAATGATTTATTACACGTAATACTCCCGTTTATGAAACTTAGCAGTATCGTTAATAAACAATTAACTAGTATGAATTACACTTTGTTATTTTATATACACGTTAGCGATCATTAGAATTCTACTCACAGAATATAGATAATGTGATCAAATTAAACTGAACTATAGCATCATAAAATTAGGGTTTATACGAAAGTATCACTTCAATGAATCCAGTTATCAACTTATTTAATTCAACTACATGTGTGTACTAACATTTTGTTCGTTACTGTCAAGTTGTAAAATATATTTTCTAACGTGATAAAGGTTGACCACTTGGATTGATGCATATATGTGCCTGATCCTACATTTTTGCTGACTGATAGCCTCATCAACTGATTTACATTACATTCAATTTCAGGATTACGCAATTAGTTATTCGAACGTTTGTGAAAGATCCACTTTAGAAAGATATGATTCTATAATATCATCCTCCTTGTTTCCTCAATCGCCATATCCCATAGTTAAAAAGTAATATAAGCTGCTATTCTAAGCAGTAGACAATTGCACAAATTAACGTTTAGTTGACCCAAAAAATACATGCAATAGAGTTTTCCTGTGTTTTAATAGTTTCTGTACAATTCGTTATAGAAAGCCATCTGTCAAAACGCTTTTGCGCAGAAAAGAGAGGGTATATACTGCCGATACACTAGATATAGGGCTAATGAGTGTTAATAAAATGTCTAAGAAACAACGGGTGTCCACAGAAATTTATTGAGAAATATGGGAAAAGTGGAAACAAAATGCCTAAAAGAACCACAACAGACAAAAATATTTTTATTGAACCTGAATTCAACCATGGTCACTTTGGAATGACGGTAAACAGAAGATTAGAAACCACATTGACTAGAACGTATTGTGCAGCCAAGTTAATTATCTTGTACATTATAACTGAATCTCTACTATAATCAAAGATCAATACTAACCCTTTATACATTGCCGCCGGCTGCGTATAAAAATTTACACGTGTGTACCAAGGCAGTTATCTTGGTAAAACAGAAGGGCGTATGTTAGTTCTAAAGATCATATCTCAAGATGTCTTCGATACTGGACTTCAGGTTGATTTACTGAAATTTTCCAAGGCTTCTGGTCGACGACTCCCAAATGCCCTGTTATGACTGAGAGTGGGGAGAATAAATTCACATGATTCTGCTCAATTTTTAGTCCTTGGCCTCTTCTAGATAAAAAAAGGAAGTGCCTGCATGAAACTAAAATAATTAATACGCAGGATTAGTTATGTATTTCGTCGCTACTGATATGAATCTATAACCCAGTTTTGGTCGGTTGTTTAATATCTAAAGTAAGCAAACTTCCCCGTTAGTTTTCACACTATATATTCAAACCGTACCTGTTAGTGGCAATGTATACATGCTTGTTGTGTTACACTATCAAGGCTTCTGTTAACTGCAACGTAGGACCAGGCACATATATACATCGGTCCAAATTGTCATACCTCATTAGCACAGCAAGATGAATACCGGATTCATAGAAGTAGTTACTTCAATGATAGTAATATGTAGGAGAATGATTGCATGTAAGGATATGATACAGGGAAAAAGAACTAGTTTGTATAAAGAAAGATATGAAGCGATTTTAATCTCATAGTTTAAGGGAAGACAAAGAGTGTATACACCTACACCATTATGATCGATTCTGAGCCATGTCATCCAGCCTCCAACCATTGGTTACGGTAGTCGTGCGGACCGCAACTAGTTAGTCTGCGTCTACCAACATGGCTAAAACTAGAGGTTAGTGAATTCAAGGTCTGAGGCTTATTCTTCATGGATTGGATTGAACGAAGTATTTTGACGCATTTTCTATTAACTACTGTTTTCTTCATTTTAGGTTTTAGCTTTGTAGCTAATCTAGTTATTTTCATTCTTATACTTAAGGTTTTATAAACTAACCATCAAACTATTGAACATTTCCATTTTCAGTGATTTAAATTTTAAATACTTTCATTGATTTTCCGACGTTTCCTGTTATTATTAGATTGGAAGCATGTGTGCTCGATTGAAAGAATGGTCTTCTACAGTTGAAGGTATGAAAAACCTTGTCGAAGTGGATACAAAATCTATTTTGGCTTGAAACGTATTTCGTATTTATTAACCCGATTTCTTGTACAACCGTTTGTAATCCACCAGCACATACTTTTAATAAATGCACTCGAAAATATTCTCTTCTGTCAGTCAACATATATTAACAGAGGTCTATTATTGCAATTGTTAATATACAAATTTTAAATGGATTTTATTTTGTTTCTAAATGATTAACTATTTCTTAGAGGTCAGTTAGTCATGACGAACACAGAGTCAGACAAATGTACGTTAACACACGTTGCCATATCACATCACATTGGAACGGATTTAAAAAGATGAGTAGTAAAGGTATTCAAACAATTTAGCACCAATGATAATAAGGAAGACACCTGTAGCAAATCAGTACCTCACTAACCGACTTGCCAATTTAGTCTAGTATCTTGACATTGCTCACTCGATCGATCCACAATACACGAGCATTGTTCCGATAACATATGACCAAAACGTATAGTCTATCCATATCTTCCACTCTCGTAGATTATGTTTTAAGGACAGCTATTTGAATGTGTGTTGAGACTGTTAGACACTAACTCACCAAGTTTGGAGACTTTCAAGATAAGTGAGGTGTTCAACCGATTCAACTACTTCATTCTATACCATCAATTTGGATGTCAAAGTAAACCATTTTGAAACCTAGTCATATATAACGTCTGAACCTCAACATAAAAGCATCATTGCTTAGAAGTGCGTGACACAAGAAGTAACAGAATACTAAGTATATTCGTACATAAGTTTACTTTCCGGTGTTACAATAAAGTAGGGTACAGACATATTTACGATGTAGGTAAAGCGAATAACTCGGGACGGCATTAAATAGGTAAGATTATATGATAACTTAAGTTCGCAGAAAAATATCACTTCAATAAATTTGGATTGTTTGAGACAAGCTGTATTAGCATTAATTTTTACGTATCGACGATCCCATCTCAGAACAATATACAATCGTATTAAAGTCAGGAACTCCGTTTTCAAAACAACCTTTTCTCTTCACATGAAGAGAAGTACATTCTAATAAAATACATTGTAAAGCATACAGTTTCTGGTGGCCTAAATGAATATTCCCTAACATTAAACATCGATTTCCTATCCATTCTTGCTTGAGGATGGTATTTTAATATAACCGCTCCAATATTAAATTTATTTGCCCCAACTAAGAATAAATTCTAGTAAACAGCATCAAAATGTGTAAATTTCGATCTTTCCCGAACTTATTTGGCTTTTATAGACTTGTACTAACAGCATTACTAAATAGTATACAGGTGATTGTTTGCTGTGCACCCCCATAGGACTTTCATTGCATATCATCAGATTACTCAAATGACGTAAGCTACTATACATTATCGAGTCGATGGTTCACACTTGTTGAGTAACCTCGTATGAGTAATCGCAATTTATGATTTATGTTACATTTATTTTAGCTTGTGAGATCGATCTTTTAAGCTGCAACTATCTATTGAGCATATGTAACTGAACTGTCTTAAACAAATTTAAACCACCCATCATCAAACAAAGAATATTGGGAAGCGCTTAAGAAAGGGAGCACAATCCGGCCCTATCACTTACCGTTGCTTGAAGTGATATGTCTTTCCTGTTTGTACCTCTCGAAATTAGTTGTTCTAGAGACTACATTGCTCTGATCATATTCACTAATACTACACACTAGTTGTTTCCGTAATTTCGCACCTTCACGCCACTGCTGTTTTCATGGTCATAATAATGAGTTGAGAGATTTAGCGTTGCTATGAAACATCGAGATGAGAGCAGGAAACGTTATTTAAGTTAAGACTATCTGGGTTTTGAGGGAGGTTTTAATAAATACACTTCTTATAAGGCAAGTAAGGCTTGAATATCACTACCGCAACGTGAGCACTGCGTCCAAAGCGATATATAATGAAATAGCAATCCTGGTTTTCGAAAATAACCATGTAGTTTAAAAGGTATTTGCAAGCCGAGCTGTTGTTTTATGTGACTACTACAATGCAGGTTGTTTTTAATCACAAGAATTCCGTGCTAGCTACGATCCCTGAAGTTCAAGTCAAGCGTCGCTTGTCGAGGTAGGCAGTGGTCAGACGTACAAAACACATGTCTTAAACACCTCAGTCGACATACTGTCCTTAACCTCAATAACACTCACTTGGTCGGTTTGCAATAGGTCACAAATAGTTATGATTAGAAACCTCCAGTCTACACGTCTTCAATTTCATACTGTTTCAGACATGAGATATGACAGGAAGGACTGCTACGTGATATGCATATCCTGTGATTGGAGGACGGACACCACACATTACTGAACTTGGCAAACACCAACTCAACTTTTTGAAGCAGGGGCGGACACCAAACGATCAGACACTGTCGGATCTTTAAAATAATTGAAGGGGCTGACCCTTTCTGCTGTATTTAAGCAACTGTCCTATCTCGTCTTAAATTATCAGCGACCAGAGATGGGAGGACCCGATTGTGCGTAACTGTAGAGTACTTAAAAATCAGTTGAATGGTACTTTAGAATATAAACTCCCTACTGGTCCAATCCCCTGAATTGGGAGTGAACGTTTATGAAGTCCACATCTGAAATAGTCTTACTGCAACCTGAATTTTGTAATACGCCTCACCGACCAGCCAGCAATGCTGTTTAGAACCATTTATTCTTGCTACATTTCGCGGTTTTGCTCTCGCTGTCTACTGCTACGTTTGGTTAGCATACATTTGAGTTGTCGTCGCTCATCACCTCCAAGCCTACGAAGATATACACCCGAACTCCCCCAATCAGCGAACAATATCTTCCCAAGCCATTATAGAATAAACTGTTTCGACGCGACAGAGCAGTTGCATGGCTAATTCTTTCCTAAAGGGTTTACTAACATTACAATTCGAAATGATTTGATTATATGACTTTCGAATCGATTTCGTATCCACTCAACTGCACATCACTCAATCATGGAACATTATCGCGACTGTTTTGTGTATATATATGTTATGATTAATGCACTGAAACTACTGAAGTGACATTTCTAAATAAATTTGATTTACAGCCGGACGCCAAAGACTTAAGGAGCATAATTTCAACTGCTCTCTTAGGTGAAGTTACGTTTCTAAAACAATGACCAACCAGAATCAGACTCCACACTACTCATCAGTGTATTGATAGTGCTCAAAGTTCAATAGACTGGAAAAATATTTAGTCGTAAACTAATAACGAACGTAAATTGTGAGAAATAGTTAAGCTTCGCTAACGGGCAGCGTCAACTGTGGCTGTCTTAATGTAGAGTTTATAACAAAGAAGATTATGGCAACAAGATCTATTAAGTACATTATAGGTAATTGTTTAGAAACCAGTTAATAACTGTAATGGTTGCTCACGTGATGCCACTGGATTTTAGTATAATCCTTCATTTCCTCAGCTAACTTGATCTACTGAGTTTCGAACAAACAAAATGAACTTTCTCCGCATATAGACTATATATAATGGGAGGTCTGTGCATTGAGGAATAGATACCATGTCTTACAAAAACCTTATTGTACTACGTAAACAGTGCCAGGGTTATCAGTAAGCCTTCTTCCGTAAACACATACAACCTCACTTGAAATAAAAAGTCTTTGATCCCATCAGTACATCATACTTATTATTGTTACTAAGCCATTTGCCAAACACGAATGAGATTATCTGAGTATCCAGCAAATAAAGTTTGACCATCAGCAGACCACGCAAGACATGTGCAGGAAGATGTTGATCGTTTAGCAGGTGAGTTTCCTGATATCAATTCAAGGCGCAGATCATCAGCTAAGACTTTATTTTCTAGATCCCATATCTTGATGCTGGATCCAACTGCAGCACAAAGCCAATAACGATTAGGAGAGAAACATAAAGCGTTGATTATTCCTCCGCTAGGCAGGGTGTACAGGAACTTGTTTAACGCTAAGTCCCATAACATTGCTTGTCCGTCCTTTCCTCCGCTTGCACAAAGAGAACCATCTGGTGAAACCGTCACTGTGTTGAGATAACCAGTATGTCCGTAATGTGTTGTGCGTAAACTGCAGTCGCTTAACCCCCAGACCTGGAGAAATGAATTACAGAATATCATATCGCTTACTTTCACTTGCTTGTCCCATCCACATGTAACAACAATAGGGTGATCCGTGTTTGGGGAAAATCGGACGCATGAAATCCAGTCAGTATGCCCACCATCGGTGAATACATACTTACAGTGACCCAAAGTATTCCACAGCCTTGCAGTTTTGTCTCGTGACCCACTGACTATTTGCCTGTTGTCTGCACTAAAAGCAACACTCAGAACGCTTTTTTCGTGTCCACAGAACCGACGAGTTGTTTTTCCAGTTTCCAGATCATACAATCTTAAGGTGTTGTCCCATGACCCTGATAAAGCATACAACCCATCAGATGACATAACAACGTCACTGACAAAATGATTATGTCCATGTAAGGACCTCACAGGTACTCCATATTCACCAGATTCTCGCCTCAAGTCCCAAACAATAAGAGATTTATCTGAAATATCTATGTCAGTAGTTAAATATACCTCGAGAAGCTGAAACAAGAAGATCAGGTTGGGTAGCATTCGTCGCTATCTGTGTGACCCACCCACGGTGTCCAGACAGAGTGCCCCTAAACACCAATTGCTCATTCATCCCTGAAACAACGTGACGAGTAACGAAACCGCGCGAGCAAAGACACCGCAAACTGACCTAATTGTTCAATATCCAATAATTGCGAACCAGTCAGTGTAAACTATGATATTTCTTTACATTCAATTCTCGATATTAATACACAGTCCTGGTCTTTGTTAGCGTCCTTTGAACAAAACAGCGTGACTAAAAAGTGACAAGTCGGATGAACGCGATTGGTTTATTGAAAAAATTATTATTATAACCAATTGTACCAGTGATTGTTTTACTGTGCTCGTTTGTTTAACTGTTCTAATGACAGACATATTGTGTTTCCATTATTCTCTATTATTGTTTCGTGGGTAGTGACTTCGCTCGCACGAACTATCTTCTGCTGCTTCTGCTCGTACCATTTCTTAGCACGATCTTGGTATTCTTTCGATACCACGAGATCTTCAATCAAATAAACTTGGTTCCATTCCGCCTTCTGATTTTGTTGGCACGCATTTCTCAGTAGTGGTGTTCATAG